TGCTGGAGTTGTTATTTTGTACTGATTGTATTTTTAAAGATTTTTTTTCTACCAGGGAGAGGCAGACATTTTGTTATTGCTATGTATTAATCAAAAGGACTGAAAAATATTGCAGGCCCCATTCTGGCTTCTTTGTGGACTTAAAAGGTTCTAAGGATGGAAATTAGACTCTGTGCTTTTACGTACTAGAAATTTAACATTAATACAGTTTGAGCTCATACTTTTGATGTGTGTTACACATCGGAGACACTTATCTGTGTACTTCAAAGTCAGAATTTTCTTTTTGAGAAAATGAGGATAAACTAAAACTTTCATTGGACCTTCAGAAGTGAGCTTCGCTCTGCTGATCTGAAGAGATTTTTCTTAGGACAATAACCTGCCTTAACACAGAATCTCAGATTTTTCAGTCGCATGCAATGTTAGCATTACTACATTAGAAGTTTCTTTTACATAAGCCATAAAAGGTACACCACCATTTTTTAGAGCTTTAAAGGATCCCACAGCAGCCTTAATTAAAAATATATTTGCTTTGTATATTTAATTCAGCCTCCAATGCTTTTCATGTAGTGTTAAAGTCAGTTGAAAGAAAACCTCTGCTTTTATAACCTTTTTTTTTACCAACTCAGCACTGCAGTCATTTCATTTTTAAAGTTACTTACTAAATCTCACTTGAAAAAAATTGATCCGCAGAGGTGTGCAATATCTGCCCTTCAAAGGGAAACCTGCTGCTACCCCTCTCAGTGCAGGCCTGAGCAAAGAGCATGTTCAGCTCTTTATTTAAAAGCTCTTTATTCATGTTATCAGCCAATCTGTTCAATGTTTGTTTACCGAAGGAGATTTTTACATTCTGATTTTCAAAAGTGTGTGTCTCTTCCCCTTATTTGTTTTAATAGCTATTTTGCATTTTCTCTAAATGTGTGGTAAAAGTAATGGTGATTGTTATAAGCAGCGCATCCAAGGTCTTCCTATGGATCCTTGGCTGTGTGACAGTTCTCAGCACTGATCTGCACGTTGCCAATGTTTATAATTTTATAATCCTCATCACACTTCAGTTCCTTAAACTTTCAACTTTGGGGGCATGGTGATGACAGGAGTCCATTTTCATTGAAAAAAAATGCATGATAAGGTTACAAAAGAATGGAAAACATGGGGAAATAAATATTTTGCACCTGAATTATGATTTTTAAGTTATCCATGTTTGCAATGCAGCAATTCTAGGCACACTGGTATTAATACTTTGAATAAAACCACAGGTTTTACTATGAATAATACCTTCTAATAGAAAATGTTGTCAGCAGTGGAAAGTCCCCAGGATTATATCCTATTATACCTATTGTCTCCTGTTTCCTTAGCACGTGGGGCCCCAAGGGCCTCCTACCCTGTGCCACAGCCAGCCTGAGCTCCCAAGGGTTAAAGTCCTGGCATTTCTTCCGCTTGGTATTTCCAAATCTCCCCTCGGGCCCATGCGGCGTTCATGCCAAAATGCTTTATTATTATACAAACATAGTTGAAGAGTAGGAGGACGGGTAACAGCAGGGCGGCGGGGGTGGGTAGGGGGGAAGCCCTTTGCCTGTGTTTTGTCCTCCGGCAGCGCGGCGAGGCGCTAACCCTGCCACCTCACCACTATTAGTACCCACGAGGGATACTCAAAGGGCGCGACCGGCGCCGCCGGGCGAAGCTGCCACGCGGCGCCCCACGGGCTCGCCG